TCGTCCTGCCAACTTCCCTTGTGGTTCTTCTCTCCCTCTTCCTCCTTAATCAGTCCTTGTCTCTGAAGCCAGCACCTTCACGTGACTATCAACCTCTTGGATTTAAAAATATTGATAAAATTGTATAATTTGGCAGTTTTTGCTATGCAGTTAAAATTCTGCTATGTTTGCAGATAAAATTTAAATGTTGCGACGTGATTCCTAAAGGAAGATGCCACGAGCCTGTGCTGGCCAGCCCTGCATTCTGTGTGACCCATTCACTTAAATTTTTGTGCCCTCATGAATGTCCCTGCAAACCTGGAGCTGAGCTGCAGGGTGCCCACCCGCAGGTACCACCCACTACTTCTTGAGCTCCTGGCTCTGTCCTCATGACCCCCAGCTCTGAGCATGGTAGCAGAGGAAGGAGGAAACCTGGCTGCCCCCCGAGCACCCACACTCCCTTCTGCCCTGCTCTCCAGCACGACTCCCATCCCTCCCGCCCTGAATTTGTTCTTCACCCAAAGGCCCTTCCTCGCCACCTCCTCTGAATCCAGAGCATCCTTCAGCCAAAAGGACCTGCTGCAACCTCTCTCCATCCTTCCCACATCTGACAACAAAACCTCACCCTTCACCCCTTCACTCAGGAAGCCTGGCTTAGGGGAGCCCCAAACAGAGGAAATTAATATTATAGAGGGAGCACCTGGTCCACACCAGGAAGTAGATAGGAGTCTGCAAGAAAATACTGGCTGCAGCAGAGGCCAGAACGGGACATGGCCCACTCAGCTGGGCTGGCCAGGGGCCCAGAGATGCTTCCCCAGGTCCAGGCACCACATCTGAGTGTCCATAGGAGATGGTTGCCAGGCTGATGGGTGGTTGAGGTTCAGTGTCCCACACTGAAGGCACAGCCTGGTCTCCATCCAGAACGACTAGTCCCATGCATGAGCGAGGGGCTGGAGTGGGGGTGCCATGCCCTGGGCCCTGCAGGGATGGGTTCCCAGCCTCTCTCAACAGCACTTCCCACTGGCAGCTCAATGGATGGGTTTCAGGAACTCAGGAGACAAATAGGCTAGCCTCTCTTTTCACATTGTTTTTGTCGGAAACTTTTATCCAAGTCCCAAACAGCTGAATTACACACATGGCAACCCTTGTCCTCCCTTCAGGGCAGCTCTGGGTTCCCACTCTATTTTGGGGGCTGGGGGAACCATAAGGGTTTTCTTCCGTTGCGTGTGGTTTTCCCCTAGATGCCACCCCCTTCTTTTCATTTTTCTTTTTGAAGTCCACCCTTGGGATTCCCCTCTTTGGAGCTATTTAAACAGACATGGGATGCACCAGGAGCAGCCTGTGAGGAAGGGGTTCCTGCCTCCCCACCTCCAGGGCCCGTGGCAGGCGAGGGCCAGCTTTGAAACTCAGGCTGTGGAGCCTGTGTCTGCAGGCCACCAAGCCTGTGCACCTTGTCTCCCTGAGCCACTGCATGCCATGGGGGTCCCTGTGGCTGTCCTCTCCCTGCCTTTCCTTTGTTTCTGAAGAGCCTTGGAGCCAGCCGAGTCCATGCATTTCTGGAAGGCCTTCACAGAGCCCGGCTTTCCAAGCACAGTCGGTGGCCGGAGGGCCGGGTCCCTGGTCTTATGCACGTGGGGCAGCCAGCAAGCCTGGACACTCCACCTTTGCCCTCAGCAGACCTTGCTCACGGGGAGGAAATCGGAGGCAGTGGGAAAATCCCAAGAGGCAGTGGATGTGGCCTCCGGAAGAGAGGGGATCACACCTCAACTGCTCATGTGCTATATGGACTCATCTGGGGACTCATTTGTAACTGAACACACACCCATCAGTGTTTCATGGTCAGAAGGGCTGTCTTGTGGGATGGTAATTAAGCACTGTCTTGGGCATGGGAGTTGGACACGCTTGAGTTTGAACTTGAATTGCTGCAGGAGCTTGGGCAGATTTCTTTCGGGTATTTCCACCAGCTGGGCCGGAAGGCGAGGAGGCTGGGAAGTGCCTATGTCATGGGTTACCATGAGGATGAAGTAAGATAACACATGCAAACCCCAGTGCTAGGCCTGGAACCAGTGCATGCCCAGTAAGTGCTGCACACCCACCTGAGGAGTGAGGGGCCTGACTCCTGTCGTCTTGGCCCAGGGCCCTCTTGGGGAGCCCACCGGGTAGCAACGAGGAAGCAGAGGCCTCGCCTCTCAATGCAGGGCCCCCACGTAAGTCGTGCGTGAAGCAGGATTGCAGAGAGAAGGCCAGGGCAGTTGTTCTCCATGGGATGTGAAGGTGTAGAAAGGAACTATTCTTCTCGTGTGGCTCAAATTATACATAAAAACCCAGACTCTTTCATCTGTGGAACATGGTGGTTTTGCAAACTTTAATTCATTCCCAAAACATCTTTGTGAATTTGGCAGCTGCTGGCTCACAGGTGAGGAGCAGGTGGGGGAAGTAACTTGCCCCAGGGCTTGGGGAGCAGGCGCCCATCACACACCCTCGTCTTCCTGGAGAGCGGGTGTTCGTCTATGCTGTCTTCGACGCGGTTGTACGGTAGTAGCTTTCTTGTCCTGGTTTTGCTGAAGCAGAGGTCGACGTGGACCCCGGGAACTGTGCTGACTGTTCACCCTGACTGACAGGATGTGGGGCAGGAAACTAGATGTGAAGATAATGCATTAGTTAAGGGACAGATCGTGACAGGCCAGTCACGCTTCCCTTTGAGAGGTATGCAAAGCATCCCCAGTGTCGTCCTTTGACATTATTATGGGTCACTGGCTGACTTTAGCCCAGAGTGGTTTGTGGTGGTGCCAGCAAAGTCAGAATGTGACCGTTCCCCTGCTTTGAGTGTGCAGCCACTAAGACTTTTCCTGGCTTGGGTAGGAATGCTTCACTTCCACACTCTGTGTTACCCTTTTAAATGTGTCTGGAGGAAGCCTAAGAGCCTCGTTTCCAAAATTAGCATCTATTGTGCAGCAAGAAAGAATTGCACAGGAAAGAGGTGTGTGATTTTACTGATTTTTCTCTCCCCATTCCCCCCCTCCCAACTTCCAACTCCAGAACCAAATATCTGAACCAAATATCTGGTACAGGACTCTGTGAAAGTCATGGGGAAGTCTGTGCCAGACCTCCAGGGAAAGCAGTCTGAAGTTCTCATGATGTTTCTCATTTCAAAGGCCAAAAGGAAAATTGTGAGCATGATTGCTTTGTCTGTTCCAAGTGTGGTTTTCCTTTGAGAGTCAGGACTTCTGTGTCTACACCCTAAGGTGCAGGGGCAAGGAGCTTCCACAGCCTGCAGAGTGGGGGGTTGCATCTTTCCTGTAACACAGCGGTCCCCAACCTTCTTGGTACCAGACACTGGTTTCGTGGAAGACAATTTTTCCACAGAGTGGTCGGGGTAGGAGGGACGGGAGGTACATTACATTTATTGTGCACTTTATTTCTATTATTATTATATTGTAATATACAATGAAATAATTATACAACTCACCACAATGCAGAATCAGTGGGGGCCCTGAGCTTGTTTTCCTGCACCTAATGCTGCCACTGATCTGACAGGAGGCGGAGCTCAGGCGGTGATGCGAGCGATGGGGAGCAGGTGTAAATACCGATGAAGCTTCGATTGCTTGCCCACTGCTCACCTCTTGCTGTGCAGTCCGGTTCCTAACAGGCCCCAGACCGGTACAGTCCTTGGCCTGGGGGTTGGGGACCGCAGCTGTAACAGGTAGAACTTTGTTTTCTGTGCTGACTTGATTCACTCACCATCTAGGCTGACCTCCAAAAGGCCCAGCCCCTTTGCACGGCCACTGTGGCATCCTTTTGTGTTTCAGTTTTGGGAAGTCATTCTAGTTTAGTTCATGCTGATTTCATAACCCATAAGAGGTTCCTTTTTCAGTGGAAGTTTGCTGCTCTGTTTCCAGAAACCTCCTGTACTGTAATGTGAGGGCACGTAAGGTCGTCTGTTGGCAGGGGCAGCTTCACGGGCATGCGACCTGTGTAATCATACAGAGCTCCACGCTCACAAGGACCCCAGGCTTAGGGTTTAATGCTCTTCAGTTGCAGTCTTGGAATTCTTATAGTTTAATTTTTGAATCTGTGTCTTGTAAGTGAAACCAGTGGGACAGTGGAGTGTGCAGTGCGGGCTAGAGCCTTGGTTCCCATGATCCTGCCTACTGCCACCTCCCTGCCTCCCCTGAGTGGGTTCGTGCCCCTGCCACACTCTTCCCCTGGTGGGGCCTGGACACAAGAAAGGTTGGGGTTAGGTGCGTGCGCCCCATAGCATCTCAAGGCAAGGCATGGTGGCAACTGTCCGCATCCTGGGCTGGCAGCTCCATGGCACATTCAGTGGGCAGCTGGTCTAGGTACCTAGGGCATCCTGGCATGGAGGGTGTAATAAATACCCTTAGGGATCACCCATCTTGGGTGGGGGCAGCCAGTCCCTGGGAAGAAGAAGTACCTGACTAGACTTCCCCACCCCAGCTAGGTCACAGCATGTTGGTCCAGCTGCTCACTGGAGGGAAATCGCCAGAGTCAGTGGGTCCCTTGCTCACTTGCACCTATAAGGGGCTGCACTCACCCTGCAGGTTTCCTCATACTCAAAGGAGCGCGACGACTTTTATAGTAAATAAAAAAACATGATGACGTGCGCAACAATGTGAATATACTTAATGTCACTGAAAACGTACACTTAAAAATGGTAAATTTGTTATGTATATTTTCTCACGATAAAGAATATATTTATAAGGTGTTAAAAAAAACAAAACCAAAAAAACCCACCATGACAGATGGAGAGAGCCACTGTGGAAGGAAGGAAGAAGCTTTAGATTTTAGTACCTTTAATGGGCATGTTTTTCCTGGTTTTTGAACACGGGGTCCTGAGTTTTCATTCTGCACTGAGCCCCACAAGCAATACAGCCAGGCCTATTGGCCACTTTGTGAAACTACCAAGTCTTTGCCTTTCAAAGGGCCTGCCCTGGAAGGCTCTGAGGACATCGTCCATTGCTGAGCAGACTCTTACCTTTTCTGTCTTCTCCCTGCCACAGGTGTCGTGTTGACCGTGTGCCAAGCCCTGGAGAACAGCACGTCCTCCCAGAGTGGTGAGTGCAGCTGCCGGGTGTGAGGCGTGTGAAGGGAGCAGGCCTGCCGGCGTGTGGAGCCCGAGCTGTCACCTGAAGAGCTCCCTCCATGGCCTCCTGACACGGAGCCCACGCCTGTCTCTGAGCCCTCTCTGCCCCCTCCTCATGGGCCGAGGGGCAGGTCTTCACTGCAGTCCCCAGGGGGCTGTCCCTGCTCCCTCAGGGTCCACCTTCTTCCCTACGTCTTTCTCTTCAGCTGTTCAGACAATTCACGCGGGCAAGCGTGTGGGACCCAACAGCTCAGAACTATCCATACTCTTCCAGCTCACATGCTATAGTTATCTGAAGAACCCCAGTTCCTGAATCCCCTTGTCAGCTTCTGCCTGGTGATCTTTGTTTAGTTATTTTCTGGTGTACGTTTGATACTGGTAATAATAGTTCCTTTTTATTTTTTTCGTTTTAAAGATCCTAAGTCAACATATTGGAGAGCTTGGAAATGTAGGAGGCAAACTGCCCACGATCATAGCACTGCGGGAAGCAGCCACCGTTCCGTTGGCGTGTTGCTTTTAGCCTGTTGTCAGTGTGTGTTAATATTTTATATGATTAGTCCTGGTGAGGAAACTATTTTGATTGTTGCTTTTTAAACTCAGAGGTTGGAGTTGTGCATTTTTCCATGTTGCTGGAAAGTACTGAAATCTATTCTTTTGAAATGTCACAACGTCCCACTAAAATGAATACGTGTGATTTAATGAAACATTCCCCACTGGATATTTATGGTGCCTCCAGTTTACATTATGATGCTATTAGTGCATCTTCATGCCTAGAAGCTCTTTCCTTCTTTTGGATACTTTCTTCAGAATACATCTCCAGGAGCAAGAATAAATACATTTTTGACCCTTGGGACAAAGTGCCAAATAGCTTTCCAAGTGAATTGAGCTGGTTTTTACCAGCAGCACATGAGTATGCCAGTTTCACTACTCTCTTGTTAGCACAGAGCACACGTCCCTGACTTCTGCTCCCGTCTGTTACTGCAGTAGCCCCCTGGTATGTCTCATGAGTTATTTCAAGGAGGTTCTACTGGAGTGGGGTGGGTTTTTAATATATTCATAAACTCTCTAACCAACCCCACAGTGTCCCTGGTGCTTTGCTCTTCTCCTCTTCCAGACGTTTTCCCTCCAAATCCACTGGGTACCACTGCTTCTGCAGCCCCAGAGCCCCCCCACTTCCCCGCCCCGATACTGTTATCCTTGATACACTTGGACCCTTAAGGTACCCAAGCCACTTGGTGGTCCATGACTCTGTGTCATGCTTTCTTAGGGCTGGAGGTGGAAGAGTGTGAATGTGTCCACCCTAAAGCAGTGCTTCTGGAGTCCAGGGTTTCCATGGAGTAGTTCTTAGAAGCAATTCCATGAAACAGTAACAATTGGGAGCAGAAGTCAGGGAAACATACTCTATGCTAACAAGGGAATAGTGAAGCTGGCATTGAATTACCTCCCACACCACAAAGGGCTCAAATATGGATGTATGGGGGAAGGGGAGGATAGCTTAGTGACTTCACCATGCTGTTCTCAGAATTGCCCAACCCCCTTCCCTAGGATGCACTTCGGACCCTCTTATAGATAGACCTCTGGTGACCTGCCCAAACACTGGAAGGTGCTGATACTCCATCAGTGCTTGCACACTGGATATCATTTGAGAGAACCTGGACCCTGGGCCAATTGGGGGCTACCATTTGTTCTGATACTTATCACTGTTATCTCCAGGTATCTCCATGGATTGAGATGCTTCCTATGTTTTCCCTGCCCTTCCTCTTCCCTTCTAGGCCAAACTGGGTGGAACTGGGGCATAAAGGCCTTGACGTTAGGCCAGATGGATGAGGTGGAGGCCTGTGCCCATGTCTCTATCGCTGGGTCCCTGGCTCTCTGGCAGAGGCCTCCCTCCTGGTCCTCACTATAGGACCTGGTAGGCCAAGAGCCAGGTTCTCTACTGAGTCTCTCTTATGTGGCAAGTTGCAATGATGGCACATGCCGATGCTGCCACCCATGGGGCAGGAGGTACTCCTGGTTATTCCACTCCCTCCTCCAGGTCTTCATCCATTCGTACAAACAAGAAAAGCCTAAGTGAGGGATGTTGTACCTGAGCCTCTTTCCGTAGAGACCTGGCGTGGCTCCTGCCTTGGCCCTTTGGGGTTTCCCAGGCTGTCCTGGGCAGAGCTGATACATTTGTCCAGAAAACAGCCGTCCTTGCTGCAGTAGTGACCAACCTCCGTTCCGTCTTTCCTTTCTGGACTTCCTCACATGAGACTGTCTCTGACATCAACAAGTAGCTGAGATTTACTTTCCCTCATGACGTGTGGTCAGAAAACCGCAGCTGAGCCCCTGCTGTGTTGCACATTACCCTGTACCTGGCTGAGTGCCACTCTGCGGCCCGAGGTGGTGCATGGGAGCAGAGGCGGCGCCACGGCCTGTAATGTCCAGAGTCAGCTGGCAGTCTGCAAAGGGAGGTGGGCTGCCCCCGACCTCTGTGTTGCTCTCAATTTGCTGGGTCACTTAGCTACCAAACTTGTGCCCTAGTGTCTTAGAGATTAATGACATAACTCTTTCCATTTTTACCTGCTCTCTGCCCTGCCCCATGAGACCCAGACGTGAACCCAGAGAGGGCTGGGTTGAGAGACAAGTCTAAATGGTGATGACCACAATATAGTCATCCCTCCAAAGGCTAGGGCTTTGTGACTGAATCGAGCTGGTTTGCTTAACTTTCTCTTCCTTTAGGGTGACCTTCCTATCTTCTGGAAGACTGCTCAGGCCTCACCACCCCATCCCACCTGTTCCATCCTCACCAGACAGGGCTGAAATCCTACAGTGGGCACAGCTCAGACTGGGGACCAACCCCACCAGCCACACTCCCTACCTGGTGCTGGAGCAAGGGTGCATGTGTCTCTAACTCATGGCTAATTCAATAAGCAAAACTATCTGCTAACGTTGTATTATATTAATAGAAATCTCCATTTCTGGGAGAGAAGTAATAGCAAAATCAATCCCTGAATACCCATCACCGAGCTTTGACAACTGGCATCACTCTGTCATTTTCCTTTCATCATTTCCCCACCTTTTTTATTTTTCCCTTTGCTGAGGTATTTTAAAGCAAAGCACGTTTCACTCGTAACACTTTAATATGTATATCTAACAGATAACGACTTTGAAAAGCATAACCACAATTCCATTACCACACCAACAAAGGCAACAATAGTTCATTTTTGTTAGATCCTCAAATATTGACAGCAGATGATGCTGTGCTTAATTTTGTGGCACTTCATTTTAATTTGCACTTTAATGTTTTCATATATTGCTTTCTACTTATTTCCTTTCTGGTGAACGGTTTTCATAAAATGAATTCTTTTATGTGCAGGTGACTCTCACATCTGAGTGCCCCTAACTCCTTAATCTCTGCATGTTGCTGGGCTCGTTTACTAAAGCCCAGCACCAAACCATCCAGAACCACGTAAAATGGTAGGAAACCATCTACACCATCTGTGTATAGAGATGGGTAATTGTAGGGGAAAAGCTTTAAGGGCTTTACCATGACATAAATATGCAGGTCTTTTCATTCTAAGAGTTGACCAGAATGAGAAATAAACATGGATATAAGAGAAGTTCTGATACATTCCTGAATGACAGCACTGGAGCAAGGCATGCTAGGAATACACAGGTGAAGCCCTGACATCTTAATGGAACATCGTGGAGAGAAAACTGCAAGTTCTGTGTGCCAGTCAGGGGAGGCACGTGGTCTTGAAAGACCATGGGGCCGATGTCATGTGGCTTTCTTGTGCATTTTTTTAAAAAAAATTCCATGTTCTTATTGCTTGACAGTTGGCCTTGGCCTGCCTTGTTGGGGTTTCTTCTTTCTTCCTTTCTCTTAAGATCCCCAAATATGGAGGGTGGAGGATGCCAGAGTCATAGGAAACTGGTGTTGTCATCAGTAAATGCTTCTCAGACATCTACTTTGGATGAGACAGTGGAGGGTCTTAGGCTGGGGGCCAGGAATCCTGGACATCGGGCCCACTTGGCCTCAGTTTTTTCAAGTCCCTGTGCAAGTTGCTCATCTGGTTCCTGTTTGGATTAATTTCCTCATCTGTTGGGCCCATAAAAGTATTCACGTGACCATTCTGATACATTGGTAGAGATAACTTGGAGAGCCGTGCTGGGAAGGACATCAGGCTACCTTCAGGCTTTTGGGAAGTACCGCAGTGGTCAATTGGAGATGCCCGTTGCGGGCCCAGGGTTAGGGAAGTGGTGGTGTGACTGCCACGTATTTGATTCTCCTGATCTAGATGCTATTTTGCATTCAGGTTAGAACATTCTGGTTGCTAGAACTATACAAAGAAGAAGGCCGCCTCTGCCTTGCCCTCAGGGAGCCCACCACACAGGTGAGAAGACAACATGGGAACCCACAGTGAGAGCATCGTGATGATATTGGCAACCTCAGCTTACTGTTAGTGCATGATTTAGAAAATAATTGCTATGGGAGTAAACTCAACAGTCTGGGGTTTGAGACAGCATTTTGTCTGGTCGGTTGTCAATTTGTAAAGCACACAGAGAAATATTAGCTGGAGGCAGGTTAAGGGAGGCAGCGCCCACAGCTCAGAACATGTCACACCCTCCCAAGGAAGGAGTTATGACCTATCTTCAAAAGGCACTTTTTAATGCCCCTTAAAAGGGACAGAATGCACCCTGGTTGAGAAGTTATTGGGTGGCTGCTTGCTTAACCCTCAGAAATGTTGCACAGTTCCCAGGCTGCCCATCTGGTTCTCATATTTTCATGAGACTCTAATGACTGAGGGGGTGTGGTGAGGGCCTTGCTCAGGCACCTGGGAGCCGGGCCTCAGGCTTCCTTCTGCTATCTGCCTTGCATGATCTGGGGACCCAGGGTGTCTTTAAACCTCTGAACTTCTGCTCCTTCCTCTTGCCTGTGTGTAATGGTACCCGCCTGGAATCGGGGCGTGTTTGAAGGCTTGCTTAATT